GAGAGAGAGAGAGAGAGAGAGAGAGAGAGAGAGAGAGAGAATGAATCAGTATGAAAGAACCCAGAGGGGCTGATGCGGGGGGTGGGGGCTGCTGCATACCTTTCTCAGCTTCATTAGGGTGGCTCCTGGATTGTGGGGCTGAGAATTGAGGTTCCCCAGATTCTGAGGTGAGCACTGAACACTGTGATCTTTTGCAGTGGAGGTAGAGGATGAGATTTGCACTGTTAGGAGGGGGAGACTCCAGGAACCTTGTTCTGTGGCACTTAGCCCCACCCTTCCCATGTCCTAGGGAAGGGTTCAGGAGATGGCAACTCTGTGGGACCTCTGGGCTGTCTGTGTCCCAGCTCCCCACCTTGGATCTGTCATCCCAGAGCTTCTCAAAGCAAAGTTATTGACTGAAGAACTAAGGAACCCAGAAGATTTCTGGGCTTGGTGTGGACTCTGAGCCTCTAGCAGTCTAACAGGGTCCTCAGCAGCTCTGTTCCCTGCCCCCAGCTCAGGTCCAGACACACAGAGCCTCTGCTGAAGCCCTACAGTGTCCAAAGTCTGTTGCCCACATCCCAACAGAGGCCCATATCAGCCACAAGCCTGCCTTTGTCATCTCAAGCCTCACATGGGCCGTGCCAGGAGGGACTAGGGGTGTTCTGCCTACAGCTGGGGCAGACCCCTGAGGCCTGGGCCCCCACAGCCCCCTCAAGCACAGAGCTGGCAGGACCACAACAGCCTGCACTGTGGCCCTGTGGAGACAGCTGTTCATGGGATATAGTCATTGGCTCACTTTGCTAGACGTCTGTGTCGGGCCCAGGGCCAGGGCCATGTGCTAAGAGATGGGACTCTTGTCTCAATTTGGAGGGAACAAGATAGGAAATTCTTTGCTTCAGAATCACTTGGGGAGGTCACCCTGAAAATTTCTGATTTAGCAGGTCTATTTGGAATATGAGGATTTATAACAAGTCCCACATTTTTTAGGGGGGTACTACGGTTGGAACCTACAGTCCTGAGCATGGTAGGTACATATGGTACTACTGAGCTAAGATGATATCCTTCAGCCCCAGGGACCACACTTTAAAAAGTCACTAATTCAGAATTAGGTGAAGAAATTGTGATTTATGCTTATAGCATTTTCCCAAAGCTACCTGTTTGAATTGCTTTCATAAAGAGCAAAGTCAGTTACTTAAACCAAATATGTGGTTCTCAAAGATGACTGCTGGTTGTGGGTGTGACCTATGTGGAGGGATGTCACTTCTTTAAAAAAAATTATTTTTATTTTATGTGTATGAATGTAATGCCTGCATGTAGGTAGGTGTACCCATGTCATGCAGTGCCTGTGGAGGTCAGAAGAGGGTGTCAGATCCCCCTGGAACTGGAGTTACAAAGGATTGATAGCCGCCATGTGGGTACTGGGAATCGAACCTGTGTCCTCTGCAAGAGCAGTCAGTGCTCTTAACCGCTGAGTCATTACTTCAGCCCTGGGGATGTCACCTTCTATGATCTAAATATAATACATCTTTTAGTGTGGCCCAGCAGCACAAACTTGAGTGTGTCCTTGTGCTTCCCCTTGATTCATTCCAAGCTTGAGGCTCACACAGACCTTGACATTCTCATCGCCAAGTCCTGTCATAGTGTAGTTACAAGGGGTGTGTGTGTGAGGTGCTAGTGAATGGCAAGGTTAAATTCGAATGTGGGCCTCTGCAACCTGGGCCAGCTTGGATGTAGCCCTGCACTTCCTGCTCCTTTCTGCTTCCTCACTGCCAGATGAACTGGCCAAGGATCCCTCACTTCCTCATTTTTCTCACTGGCGTGATCATTGACTGTCTCACTTCCTCCCTTTCCACTTCTGGTCTGCCCATTTGGCATGGTGTAGGTTGGTGACTGTGTGTGTATTTTGGGATGGCAAGTATTTGGGATGATAAAGTGCCCCTCTGCAGCAAACAGGCAAGATCGCCCACTTTGGGGAGCTACTGAATACAGCTCCAGGAGATAGACTGGGGTGGCAAGTGGCAAAAAAACTAAATGTTAGTGGAGGGAAGCATGTGGAGGGGGAGAAGCAGTCATTTGTCACTTGTCTTCCTTTCCTGGGTTCAGAATCTGCTGAGAAATAGTCCTAGGCACCAATCAGATGGGGACTAATGACCTGTATAGCCTGGCTCCTGATCTGCCTATGAATTCAGCAGGCCATGCCCCCTTCACACTGGGAGACACTGCTGCAGGCCATTTGGAACCACAGCCTTTGCTTGTCCCACAGGCAGGTATGAGGAGAGGTTTCCATAGTTCCTTCCTCAGATTGTGCAGGCCCTGGGAGTACATAAATGTGTAGGTAGGGGAGCAGAGAGGACCCCCCCCCCAAGAGAGTGAGGAGCAAGGGATCTGAGATTCCACTTCTCAACCCCTTTATTCCCATCTTCTTTGGTGAAACTGGGACTGGGAGAGTTGGAGACTCCAGCCCCCAGATCTGGTTCCCTCTCCAGAATGGCCTTTCTGTTCCTGGGACCTACCTTACCTCCATCAGCACCAACCTTGGGGGCTTCTCCTTGAGGATGCCTTTGGCAAGGCCTCCTCCCTACATCTGTTTCCCTTCTCAGTGTGTGATCCTGTTTAAGCCAACAGTACATATTATTCACGTTTGTGACTTGGTTTTCACATTTGTTATGAGACATAATGGTGTGTTTCTTCTGCGCAGTCTCCACTCACCCCTTCCATGTAGCGTCTGGTGGTCACTTCCCATCTTTCACAGTAGAAAGTCCCTCTTGTTCTTTCTTTGCTGGCTAGACATAATTTTGTTCATTCAATTAATACTGATTGGGAGCCTGCAGGAATCTAGGCAGGTGCTGCTTGGGCGGGGGGACAAGCAGATGGGGTGACCATCCAGGTTCCCACAGTCACAGGGAACTACAGTTAAACAGCACTGCATATGAGCTGATGACTAAGAGAAGTGAGGAGCCCCTGGGAGCTGGTGACAGGGGTAGCAGGAGCTGCCCTTTGGAAGTGAGGTCACCTGTAACACCCTCCATTAAAACTCAAACCCAGGCCTTCAAGACCCTATACGGCTAAGCTCTGTCTGTTTCCCCAGCCTTTTTTTTTTCTTTCTAAGACCTAGTCTCATAGCTGAACATAGCTTGTAACTCCTGATCTTCCTGATTCTGTGTCCCCTATGCTTGGCTCTTGCTGTTTTTTTTTGTTTGTTTTGTTTTGTTTTGATTTGATTTGTTTTTAAAAAAGCCCCAGTTGACCTAGTACTCACTTTGTAGATCAGGCTGGCCTTGAACTCAAGAGATTTTTCTGCCTCTGCCTCCTGAGTACTAGAATTAAAGGCATATGCCACCACCCTAGACCTGCTGTATCTTTGGAAAAATTTTTTATATTTTCATGTGTGTGTGTGTGTGTGTGTGTGTGTGTGTGTGTGTGTGTGTGTGCACGTCACAGTGCACATGTGGAAGTCAGAGGACAATGTGCAGGGTCTTTTCTCTCCTCCCACCATGTGGGTCCCAAAGCTCGAACTCAAGTCATTAAGCTCCTCCCTGAGCATGTCCCCCGACACCACACCTCCCTCATCACTCTGTCATATTACTCACATGGCTGTATTTGTATTTTGCTTTCTTTTGTTTCTGCCTCATGGCACTTAATGATATTCTCTCTCTTTTTAAATTTTTTTATTATGTGTTTTCTGAATCCAGCTTGGGGAAACAGATATAGAAACCACTGGTCACTAATGTTCTTCCCTGTTCTTGTGCTTAGCAGGGGCTTGGTATGTGGCTGACATTCATAGATGTTTGTTGAGTGCTTTCCTAGTATATTAGTATAAGTCACCACAAATTTAGTGGCTGTGTTAGCTTTCGATCACTGTGACAGGTACCTGAGGTAACCCGACTTCAAAGAAGGAAAGTTTTATTTTAGCTCTTGCTTTTAGAGACTTCAGCCTAGGTCACTTGACCCCATCATCTTGTGCCTCTGCTCAGACAAAACATCATGGCAGGAAGTGTGGCTGAGGAGGCTACTTATGGCTTGGTGGCTAGGAAGCAGAGAAGAGGGAAGGGACAGGTTCCAATATCCCCTCCTCTCTTCCTACAAGTTCTGCTGCTTCCACACCATGCCACAGGGGCAGCCAAGCCTTTAGCACATGTCTTTTGGAGAATATTTAAGATCCAAACTGTACCGGGTGTAACTGTAGATTATCTTCTAGTTCTGTGGGTCCGAAGTGTGAAACTCAAAGGTCCTGGCAAGGGCTGCATGTCTGCTGACTGCTCCAGGAGAGAATCCTCTCCTTGGCCTTTTGCCCCATGTGGAGGCTGCCTGCATTCCTTGGCTAGTGGCCCTTCCTTCACCTGCAGAGCCGATCTCTTCTCCCTCGGCTTCCTCCTCATGTTGCTTGCTCCCACTTACCTCCCTCTCAGACTCACCCAGATAGTCCAGGGTAACCTTCCTCTCTGGAGATCCTTCATTTGTTCACATCTGCCAGATCCCTTTTGCCATGTAAAGCATGTATTTACAGATTCTGGAAATTTAGCTGTGCCTATCTTTGGGGGTTGTTATTCAGCCTGTAGTCCCTGGCCTGCTTGCTGTGGGTGACCAGCAATCAGGCCCTCTGGCCATTGCCATGGCATCCAGGGGCCTGACCATTCCTTCCTCCTGCAGGATGAGATTGAGGAGCTGCGGGCTGAGATGCTGGAGATGCGGGATGTCTACATGGAGGAAGATGTGTATCAGCTGCAGGAGCTACGGCAGCAGTTGGACCAGGCCAGCAAGACCTGCCGCATCCTGCAGTACAGGCTGCGTAAAGCTGAGCGCCGCAGCCTCCGGGCCGCACAGACTGGTCAGGTAGACGGCGAGCTCATCCGTGGTCTGGAGCAGGATGTCAAGGTCAGTCCAGGGGCCTCTGCTGACCTCCATTGGTGCCCTTGTTGGATGGTTGGGCTGTGGACCCTCTTGAGGATCCAGGTCAGCCCTGTATCTTATTCCTATACGTCCTTGGACAAATCACACATCTCTCTGGGCCTCAGTTTCCCCATCTTCAAAGTTGGGGGCCCCTGGTGTGTCAATAGACCTTTCAAATGGAGTATCCCAAAGTGATCTGACATGAATCCTATTAACAGCATTTATTGCTTGTCTGCCTCAGACATGGTGCTGCCTTGAGGAGTCCCTGCACAGCACCCATACAGTTCTACTGAGCTACTGAGAGAAGGGAAGGACTATGTTGGATGGCACTGGTTCACACTGGATCTAGGCTCCAGTATGCCTGGATTTTGTGACTTTTTTTAAAGATTTATTATTATTATTATTATTATTATTATTTTGGTCTTATTGAGATAGGGTCTCCCTGTAGCCCCAGCTGTCCTGGAACTCACTATGTAGACCAGGCTGGCCTTGAACTCACAGAGATCTACCTGCCTCTGCCTCTCGAGTACTGGGATTAAAGGTGTGCGCCACCACGCCTGGCTTATTTTTATTATTTTTAATTTATATACACAGGGCAGGGGAGTATGTGCACATGAGTACAAGTGCCTGCGGTACCAGATTTCCCTGGAACTGGGGTTATAAGGTGGTTTTGAGCTACCTGATTTGGGTGCTGGAAATTGATCCCTTGAAAGAGCAATTCACACTCTTAACTGCTGAGCCATTTCTCCAGCCCAATTTTGTGAAGTCACCTGTTTCAGTTTCCTCTTCTATAAAATGGGTGTAAGAACAGCACCTGCCTCGTGGGGTTCTATCTAAGATGATGAAACATGATGCTATGGCTCAGCCACCACCATAGTAACTGACAGTTATTAGCTGTTGTTATTATATCAATTTTCTGGATGAGGCCTGGAGGAGGGAAGCACCTTTCCAAGGTGTTCCTATATAGGTGGCAAAAGTCAGGCTCCTCAGACTCAATGCTGGACCTGCTACTGCCCTGCCCTAGCCTGCCCCCGGGCCCACTTTGGCAGGTGGGGCCTCTAGGAAAGAAGTTCCTCTGCCTGTCTTATATAAACTTGGGTCTAGAGGCTGAAAACTTAGGAACCCTGATCCAGGACAGTGTGAGCAGTGAGATGCTTAAGTGGGGAGGAGTTTAGGAGTCCATGGGTGACCTCTGCATTGAGGCCCAAGGGAGAGGGCTTGAGCCAGCAGGGGGAGGAGTATGCTCTGGGGGAAGGCTCCTAAGGGCCCAGGGGAGCTGGCAGGATGGGGAGCCCTCCACACACAAACCTGCTGCTGGAAGGAAGAATCCCAGCCCTGCAAGCCAATTGTAAGGGAACACTGTTAATTAAGGGGCCAGGAGAGCTGATTCCAGAAGGCTCCACACAGCCCTGCCTGTGTATCTATTATCTTGCAACACAGCAAGATCCCACAGGAAGAAACTTAGGTCTTTTCCAACCCCAAGGCACCTCTTGAATGGGCAGCTTCCAGGGTAAAAGGCTTCACTGACATTCACATTCTAAGCACTGCTGGGCTCCTAGAGCCTGCCCTGGTTCAAAACAAAACAGAAAACACCCTCCAATGCCATCCACTGGGAGGAGGAGGAGTGAGAGGGAAGGAGAGAGCCTTGGACTTAGAATTTCTGGGAAGGAACCTAGAAAAACCTATTAAAGAGAGATGAAGGGGTCCGGAACAGACTGGTGGGCGGGGTGAGAGCAGCTGGGGTGGGGGTGGGGCTCTCAGAGGCCCAGAGGATGGGAGGGCCCCTTCTGTTGGGATTTGAACTAGCCAATCAGCATCCTCGTGCTCCCTCTTCCCTCCTTCCTACACTGCCCACCCCCACAGCTGCAGCACTGAGCTGGCTGCCTCTTTTCCACCACCCTTCACCCCAGTGTGCTGGAGATATTAGGGCATTTTTGAAGGTTCTCAGAATGCTGACTTCTCTGGCATGCCTGGGAGAGGGGACCTGGGGGGCTCAGGTCGGGAGGGGGTTGCAAACTGCCTGGAAGGGTCACCCTACTGGTTTTTTACTTGCTCTGCTGGCTCTTTTGACATTGAGCATGCAGGTTACTGGAGATCTTGAAAGAAATCTTGGCTTTGATTTCTGTCCTCAGCCCCTCTCCCAGCCTCTTTCACTTTCTGCTGGGCCACATAGTTGACAACATCTCCAGACTCTCAGCAAGTACTCTACTCTGTCTAGCATGAGGAAGTCAGGGCCAGTGGACAGAGACCTGCTCTGCTACTTGACTGCTGTGTGGCCTTGAGTACAAAGCTTCACATCTCTAAGCCTGTTTCCCCCTGTGGAAAATGAGGATGAGTCTCATTCCCTGTAGGGGATTTCTCTGAATATAAAATGAAATGACTGGAGTAAAGAGTACTGTGTGCTAGGTGTAGCACTGAGTGTTCACCCAGCAGCTGAACATGTGTGTGGGGAGGGGGCGAGGCCAGGGATTCAGGGATCTCAGTTCTCTTCTGAAGTGGCTCCTATAGAAGGCTCCAGAACACAGTAGAAACATATCTCCCTACTTAGATACAGATGATCTGGCCCTGACTTTATGTCCTGGGTGACCTGTATTATCTTTCTCTTCTCAAAGCCTCAGTTTCCCCTTGTGGAAAATGGGGTGACACTTTCTATCCTGGGATTCTTGAGAGAATGTGGCCCCAACACATTTCCTGGATTGGGATGCTTCTTAGAGGTCTGTCCTTCTTGAGGATTGGAGTCACAGGGACGTTAGAGACCCAAGGCTCAGAGGCCAGGGACCACTGTGCTGGGGACCTGGGGCCAGCGGCTGTAGATGGCATTTAGCAGAGGCCAGGCACAGCACTGTAAACAGTGACCTCATGGCTGAGAGAATTTGTTTGTGCTTTGGGCATTTGCCGTTTCCGGAAACTGCAGCTGCTTTCTCAGTCTCTCAGCCCTCTCCTTTGGGGGTAATTGAGGGAACTGAATGAGACTGGCACATGGGCACCCTTTGAGAGTCTGGCATTATAAGGCATGTCAGGACTTAGTATTAAAAATTCATTGTTCGGGACTGGAGAGATGGCTCAACAGTTAAGAGCACTGGCTGTTCTTGCAGAGGACCCGGGTTCGATTCCCAGCACCTACATGGTAACTAACAACCGTTTGTAACCCCAGTTCTAGGGGATCCGACACCCATTTCTGTCCTGCGCTGCATGACAGGGGTACACATATGCACATGCAGACAAAACACTTATACACATGAAATAAAATTTAAAACTTCTATTATTCATAGTCGTGTATCTTCAGGCTAACCCCCTTACAGCAGGGTCAGGTCGAAAACTAGGCTTTGGAGTTCACCCACAGTTGGTACCTTCCTAGCTATGTGACCTTGAACAGCTGACCTTTCTTTTCTGAGCCTGTCATGGTTATAAAGTATTTACTAAGGGGAAGAAAAGCTCATGACAAATATCTGGGGATGAGCTAGCTCACTCTATAAATTACCCGTGAGAACTCAGAGACCCAGAACCACTGGTGATCTGGGAGGGGAAGGCAGTGCCAGGCTCCTGGCTCTTGCTGCCCAGTCTGTTAGAGGTGGTACTCTTTGTTCCTCTTGGCCTCCGTGAGACTGCAAGGCCCTGAAGGGATCTGAGCTTTTGAACTTTTCCCTCTTCTGCCCCCAGTGGAATTGTGCACCCTACCTACCTAGGGTAGGTTTTCTTTAAATGCAGGCCAGAGGTGGGAGAACATGGGATAGGGAGTCCATGGAGAAGGGAACAGAAGAGAGGAGGATCTAGGAGCTGTCCTGGATCATGACTTCTTGGTGAGGACCAGATAACCTTCCCAGTTAGAGGCCATGATGGAGCTAGGTCACTTCCCACCCCATGGGAACATGTTTGGGAGAAGAGCCTTGGCCCTGTAAGTCCTCTTTGGACAGTGGGGCAGGGGCAATAGGGGGGCAGTAGGAGGGCAGTGTCCCTAGCCCTGCTTAGACAGGTGCAGCTCCCCACACATACTCGGCCACGTACTGCTTCATCTTCTCTTTCACTTGTTGGATCCTGATTTGTTTTCTCTTCCAACAAGCATATATTGGACCTCCGTGTATGCCAGATCCTGTGCTGCTACTGGGACACAGATGTGAATAAGTCCAGGCATGACCTGGGGCCTTGATCTCTGTGATCTACCATTCCCACCCTAGTGCCAAAGCAAGAACAAATGAATGGAGTGTTGGTTAGGACAGGGCTTCCTAAGTAGCCTAATAAGCCCCAAATTGAGGCCTGTAGCCAAAAGCCTAGGCCAAGGTGAATAAAGCTAGTTCAAAGAAGCAAAGCGGTAATCTTGGCAATACATTAAAAATCCTTGTATGGCTGGGGCTAGACATGTAGTTCAGTTGAGTGCTTGCCTAGCATGCATGAAGCCCTGGGATTGGTCCTTAGCACTGCATAAACTCAGGATGGTGGCATGTGTCTATTATCACAGTGTTTGGGAGGTAGAGGCAGGAAGATCAGAAGTTCAAGATCACCTCTGGCTAGTATCAAGCTCAAGGCTAGTCTGGGGAGAAAAAGAAAATCCTGTGTGGCTGGGGATGTTGTTATTGGGAGAGCACTTGCCTACCATGCACAGAGTCCAGGGTTCAATCCCCAGCACTGACACAAAAGTAAATAAATATAATAAATAGAAATAAAAAATCTTGTATAGATGCTGCCTTGAACTTGAGGTCTTTCAGCAACTCTGCATGGGTCTTAAGTATTTTACACAATCAGAAATAGGTCAGCCAAGTTCATAGAACTATGAAATAAAACGGGACTTTTATAATGCATTTAATAGAGTTAATTGTTTAAAAAATAATAGTACACTTGGGAGGCAGAGGCAGGTGGATCTCTGTGAGTTCAAGGCCAGCCTGGTCTACATAGTGAGTTCTAGGTCAGCTGGGGCTACAGGGAGACCCTGTCTCAAAAAGACCAAAAATAAATAATAAATAAATAAATAAATACATAAATAAATACATAAATAATGGTAAACAAAGATCCTTGGTTTTTTGATCACCTTCTGATCACCACCACCCAAGCATTCTGCCATTTACTCTTTCCAGCAGCTGGAAAGTGGTGTGTATCAACCCTTTTACTGCTGACCAAGCTCAAATTTCAAATGGTCAACAACTTGTCCTGGGACACATGGCCAGTGAGTGTTAGCACCAGGCTTGAATCTTATTTCTCCTCTGCAAAGTCCTTTTCTAATACTAAGAATTGCTCACCCCACTTTATGGATGAGGAAAGTTTGGTGGTGCAGAGAAGATATAGGGGAGGCTTGTGAGCCAGCATTTGGTGGTCCTTGGGGATTTTCAGGCTAGATGGGCAATGGGCAGAGGAGGGAGGAGAGCTATGCTGTTTCCTCTCAACTGTTGTTTTTCCTGGCTTGCTTTGCATACTGCCAAGGAGTCTTTGCTGAGTTCGGTTTGGGCCCAGGCAGACGGCAGAGCCAGGGAGGGCCATGGTCATTTCCCATACTGGCAGGTGGGGTGCTGGGTTATCTATGCCTACAAGCCCTCCTGGCAAGGCCTTCAGACCCCTGGGGGAATCCCTGCCTATGCTGGCCTCTCTGAACCCCAGGGAATCCCAGTCCAGGTTAGCCTTCTCTGTGTGTGACCCTGAGATAATCATTCTGCTCTGAGCTTCAGTAAAATGAGGGTAGGACTGGAGTAGAAATGAATGAATCTGGCGCACAGTAGGTGTTCAATAAATGGCAGGGCCCAGCCCACCTGGAGATAGGGTCTGTTTACAGTTTACCAACCCAGAAGGGCCTCCCTCACCCTTACCTTGGGCCTCCTGCTTTATCCTGTCACATTGAGCCATCAGGGGACAGGACAGAAGAGGTCCTCCAAGAAGTGGGTGGTGTTCCTACAGAGTCTGGATCTGGGATTAGAGATGCATTTCTGTTGGCTGCATCCAAGGGATGACTTAGACACTGGCCCAGTCTTGTCATTCTAGTATGTTCTACATCCTAGACAGTTGGAAGGAGGCCTCAGGGTCACTGTGACCTCCAGCAAGTCATGCCTGTCTCTGGACATCAGTTTCTGGGAGCAGCAGTCCTTGGTTACCTGACACTCACTTGTGGCAGGCGCCAGGGGAGGCTTATGAGTGAGAGTTGATTCAATCCTCCTGTCAGTCCTGAGGGTGCCCTGTTACTGCTGTACCCATTTTATAGTTGAGGACACTGAACTCTTGTGACAACAGGGCTAGGGGTATAGCCTGGTAGTAGAGTGCTTTCCTATGATTTGCAAGACTAGATTTAGTGCCCCCCTTGCCCCCCAGCCCTAGGTGAACAAAGAACCATCACAGCTCTTGGGAGCAACCCATTGGGAGCAGGGGTACCCAGGTTTGGGTTTTGATATGCCAGTTCCTCTCTGTATGACCTTTGGTGAGTTTTGGGACCTCTGTGTGCCTCAGTTTCCTAGCCTCTTAGTGAGGGTGATGAGGTGGCTCAGTGACTGAGGTGAAATGGTCAGTGGCACTCTAGGTATGGCCCCAGCCTGATCATGCCTCTCTCCCCCTACCCTACTCAGGTCTCTAAAGACATCTCCATGAGGCTTCACAAAGAGCTTGAGGTGGTCGAGAAGAAGCGGATGCGGCTGGAGGAGGAGAATGAGGAGCTTCGACAGAGGCTCATTGAGACAGAGCTGGCAAAGCAGGTGCTGCAGACAGAGCTGGAGCGCCCGAGAGAGGTGAGGCCACTGCCCACTGTGGCAGGAGGCGTGTGTAGTCCCATCTAGTTGGGGTCTCTCTGCTTGTGGACCAAGATGGATACTCTTGTGCTTCCCTGGCAGGGTTGTTTATTCAGTCACCCCTCCAGTATGCATTTCCTGAGCCCCTGCTGTGTGTACTGGACATTCAGGATACAGCATTGAGGAAGATACAGGGTTTCTATCTCTAGGTACTGACAGGGATAGTCATTATCTGGAAGACACATACAGCAATGCCCAGCATGGGATTGGGCTTCCATGCCTCAGTTTCCTCATCAATAAGATGGAGCAGTAGTTACTTTGTCACTGACAGGGCCTTGGGGAGTGGAGCTGTGTGGAGCTGCTTTAGGGAATGGTGATACTGCCATTTGGTGTGAGATGACTACTGGGCCTGGGTCTTGTGACTCTAGAGACTAGATGCTTCCTGGGACTGGAGAGATGGCTCAGCGGTTAAGAACACTGGTTATTCTTGCAGAAGACCCGGGTTTGAATCCCAGCACCCATATGGCAGCTAACAACTGTCTGTAACTCCAGTTCCAGGGGATCCGATGGCCTCTTCTGTCCGCGGGCATTGCACGACACAGGTGCACTTACCTACATGCAGGAAATATGTTCATACACATAAAATAAAAATAATAAATAAAATTTTTTTAAAAAAGAAATCTTTATAAAGGTCCAGCAAACCTGTGATCCATTTCATGGTTGAGCAGATGGCTTCCGTCCTGAGGTCATGCAGGTTCCAGGGAACTCTGCGGAAGGCCAAAGAGAAACATCAGCCTGGGTGAACCTTTAAGACTAGAGACCTCCAGATTCCAGGGGTCTGCATTCCAAACACTAGGTGGACCTTGGTCCCAGATGCACAGCAGACCTTAAGCTGGTTCACTGCTCATGAGGCATCCTAGGCTTGAACATTCTTCTGGGGAACCCACTTGCCTCCTCAGAGGGCTAGCATGCCAGCAGTCCTGCCAATACCACCAACCCCACCCCACGGTGGAGAAGAGCTTTGTGCTAAGGGCTTCTGAGGAACCTGACAGCTTTGGGGCTTAGTGGGATGTTTCTTCCCTTTATGCAGACTCCTGCTTGTGGTATGGAATGCCATCAGCACCCAGTCCTGTTGCTGCTATCCCTGATGGTGCAAAGGAGAGATATTTTCTTTTTCTTTTTTAAAGATTTGTTTTTAGGGCTAGGCATGGTGATGCACACCTTTAATCCCAGCACTTAGGAGGCAGGGACCAGCCCGATCTACATAGTGAGTTATAGACCAGCTGGGGCTCCAGGGAGATTTTGCCTCAAAAAAAACAAAAAACAAAAATTTTTTTTAAAAACAAAGACCAAAAAACAACCTAACAAAAACAAGAAAAGCTATGCTAGATGCACTTGCAGACACTGTGGCCCTTCCTTCATGGCTGCTTATGGGGACATCTCCCCTACCTGCCCTGTT